GAAGAAATTCTTCCCTCTGAGGGTGGGGAGGCACTGGCACAGGTTGCCCAGAGAAGTTGTGGCTGCCCCATCCCTGGAAGTGTTCAAGACCAGGTCGGATGAGGCTTTGAGCAACCTGGTGTGTGTGGGGGTGTCCCTGCCCATGGCAGGGGGGTTGGAACTGGGTGGTCTGGAAGGTCCCTTCCAACCCAAACCATTCCATGATTCTGTGATTCTACATGTCAAGCTTTGCCTTTTTTTTCTTTAACAGATATTTTGAATATTTCTTTAGCCCGTATCACTTTCTTCCATAAGTCTGGAGTCATCTGGAAGGGAGAAGAAAGCAGAAGGGATCAGAAAGGATGACGCCCTTCTCTGAGGACTAAGGGTGAGTAAACTGAGGATTGTCTGGTTGCTGCTGTAGCTTGTGGGCTAAATGACCAAAAAGGATTATACATGTCAAAGTATGGAAATCATTTAAATTCAGAAGACAATTTTGCTGTTCACAGCCTAGATCTGGGGCTGAGTGCTGGAGGGAATTTATGCCAAGCTCATGTCTCCTCTGGCACGAAACCAAAAGCGTTTCATAATTTAGCCAGTAAGGAAAACTGGTGGTTTTCCACACGTTGGTGAGGATACTTGTGAAAAAGGAGACGTGTCAAAGACAAGAGGAAGCCAAGTACGCAACGGTGTGATGGAGGCTGTCAGAGCCCATCGTCTGGCTCCTATTATGGGTTCCTCTTACTCATATAGGTCCTCAAGTCCTGCCGTTTGCCTCCAGCTCATGTTCCAGAAGGGCAGGAGGCTCCTGTCAGTCCTTTGTCATGTCTGCCATGGATGGCTTTGATGCCTGAGGGCATGGACATAGCTGACTATCGTTAATCTCTGAATTTTGATGCGAACGAACTGAAAAATGCAAGATTCCACTCACCTTTCTTTTCCAGTTTATGATGCCTCCAGAGCAATGTAAAGTTCAAGAAGATGCTTCAGACTGCCAGAACTGTTAGCAAAATGGGTGGCAGAGACTAATCTGCACAGCTTGAGAAGAACTGCGGTATTTCATGGAAGTAGGATGAAGTGCATAGTCCAATCTTTTAGGTGGCTTAACAGAACTTTTTCGGCTTGAGCTGAAGAATTGCTGTCTTTGTCCCAAAGGCATACACAGCATTTCTGATTCAGAAAATGACACAGATCAAAGGAAGAATTATCTTACGATCTTCGTTTTAGCTCCTAAGATGGATGCGGAAAGCGTGGCAGTGGAAAGCATGTTTCATGTGACGTTTTCTGAAGAAGAAAAAGAACTTTTAAGGAGATGAAGGACTTGTGACCAGCCTCTTCGGTCGGGAGCCAGAGGTACTTTGAGAGTGCCAGGAGCAGACCTGGGTTGGTAAGTGTCTCTGCCGAGGTATCTAGGACAGCGTTTAAAATTGTATCTTTAAATAAGTATCTATGTATTTACAGGAACCACCAAGCCTGGCTTCCAGTGGAGAACCACCTCCCGTCCTACCAGACCTTTCCCCTGGGCGTCATGGTCACAACTCTTCCGAATGGGTGTTTTCACGTGAGGGGGATAAGCAACCAGGTGATAGAAGGTATCACCGGAGGTAGGAGGCTGGGAGAACCATGCCAGTTACTCTTCAAAGTAGGTGTTGTCTCTTACCTTGTTTATCCATGTTGCTCAACTCTCCTGCCGCCCCTTTAACAAAAATATTGGTTTTTCAGACCGTTTTCCATCTTTACTTGCAGGTGGGCAGAAAGATCTCCCTGAGCACCTAAAAGTTGAGCTGCGTGCCTGGATCAGGGCCAGGATTGCTCCTTTCACAGTGTCGTGGTTTAACCTGGCCGGCAACCGAACACCGTGCAGCCGCTCGCTCAGCCTTCCCTACGCCCGGGGAATAAGGAAGAGAATTAAAGGGAAAAAAGGAAGGAGACTCATGGATTGAGATAAGAACAATTTTAAAACAACAACAACAACAATAATAATGATTTGGCAGTAATAATGACATAACAATATATGAAAAATATATGTAAAAATATGGTAATAATATGTACAAACAAGTGATGCAGAGTGCAGTTGCTCACCACCTGGTGACCAACACCTGTCCCGTCCCGGCAACTAATCCCAAAACAGACAAGTCCCAACACCACAATTCTGGACAAATGAGAGGCTCGAAAAGAGGGAGAGAGAGAACTTTGAGAAACCAATCGTCCGAGAGTCCTCAGAAGAGAATTCCCAAAACTTCCCAATCAACCCTCATCTATACACCGGGCATGATGTTGTATGACATGGAATATTCCATTGGCCAGTTTGGCCCTCGATCC